TTTTTGAGACAGGCTCTCCTTGTGTATAGTCCAGGCTGCCTTCTACTTCACTGTGTCTCTTAGGCTAGCCTTGAACTCTTGCCTCAGCCAACCCAGGGCTAAGACTGCCAGTGTTAGTACTCGGGCTTGTGTACTGGCCTGACCTTGGGGTCTGCGTCCTCAGCTGTAGCCACTAAGAGCACCACCTGTGCACAGTCACTATGTTCCCTTTCAAAAGGGCCCTGGCCTTCTTCCATCTCTTTCTCTGTCTCCATCTGTCTGTCCTTCTGTCTCTCTCTCTCTTTTGTCTTCTGCTACTCCTGTCCCCAGACCCAGGTCTTCCCCTCCCCTTTTTCCCATTCACTTTCCAATAATAATAATAATAATACCCCTCCACCTGCGCTCTGTCCAGAGGCATCTTTCTCTCTCTCTCACACCGCTGTTTTCTAAATTACAAAGGCCAGGACTAAAGGGGTGTGTCACAATGGCAGGCCTTTCCCACCAACCCCTGCCCCCTTCTTTTCAGCACTAGGCGTTGAACCTAGGCTATGGCTGCCTGCTCTCCCACTACACTGTACCTCAGGTCTGTTTCAGTTTTCATCTGGAGGCAGCCTTCTCTAAATTGACCAAGCTGGCTTTGAATTCACCCCATAGCTCAAGCAAGATTTAAATTTACAATGTTTCCACTTTTGGCTTTCTTCGTAGTTAGGATTCCAAGCCCATACCACCAACCTTGGCCAGGATAGTTTTCCAAAGATACATTACAGGGTCTGGGCATGTAGATCAGCTCTAGAGATCTTGCTATTATGTATGTCTGAGTGCAGGGTTTGATCCTCAGCACCACAAACTACCATTACCACCATCAGACACGCATTTTAAAGCAATACAGATGAGCTAGGTGGTTGTGGCAAACACCTTAATCCCAGCACTTGCGAGGCAGAAGCAGGCAGATCTCAGTGAGCTTGAGGCCAGTCAGGTGATTTACAAATCAAGTTCCAGGACATACATGCCTTTCATTCTGGCACGAGGCAGGTGGATCTCTGAGTTTGAGTCCAGCAAGTTCTAGAACAGCCAGAGCTACTGAGAAACCCTGTCTCAAAAAAAAAAAAAAAAAAAAAAGAGGCAGTGGTAGCACACCTTTAATCCCAGCACTAGGAAAGGTTGAGGCAGGGATGGGGGGGTACCTGTGATTTCGAGGTCAGCCTGGTCTACAAAGCAAGCTCTAGGAACAGAAACCATGTCTTGAAAAACAAATAAATAAATCTAAGCAAGGTGGTAGTGGAAATGAGCTGAGGCAGAAGGAGTTGAGGCAGTTGGAGACTAACCTGGGCTACATAATAAAAGACTTGCAAAACAAAAACAAAAGCCAAAGTAACAAAAAGGAGACCCCAAGGGTGAAAACACACTGAGGTCAGGGGCAGCAAGCAGTAAATGTTGCTTTGTAAATGGCTGCCATTGAATTGGAACTGCTGCCTCTCCTCCCTCTTCAAATGAATCTCCTGGAAGTTGTTGATAAAAGGGGAGCCCAGAACTGAAGTCACTGTCTGGAGGTGATGAACTGCCCTGGTACCAGGGCTGGCTGGAATGACTTATCAACATAGGCAGGCTGAATGGTTGTTAGAATCTGATGCTAGCAAAACAAACAAATAAAAACAGGCAAACAAACAAACAAACAAACAAAAAACCACACAAAAAAAAAAACCCAGAATGTTATTTCAGAGGAAACCACTGGCATTTTTGGAATGAGCTGTCAGTTGACTTGGGACAAATCTCTGGCACGTGCGAAGCCTACCAGCTGCCCAACTGTAAGAGCAAACGTGAGGGCTTCTACCTTCTAAGAAACAAATGTTTTGATTCCCCTGTCATCTTTCATTCTGTCTTCTCCCCCCCCCCCCACACCCCAACATCAGCTCCAGGACTGCTGTTGAGTTAAAATCAGGTGTTAAACCCACTTAGCACACCTCATCCTTGCTCATCAAGTTGTGGCTGAAGACTTTCTGTTCAAGTTGTCCACGTGCCAGGCTTTTGCTAATGTGTGGTGGTGCCTCCACCCATGACGCCTCTGCTTAACACATGCTCTAAAACCTTCCGTGGACTCGCTGGTCAGCCCTCAGTTGCAATTCAAAACCACAGGCTGCTTTCTGAGACACTTCCTGCTACCCAAATTGAAATCTGCCACCCATGGGGCTAGGAAGATTTAAAAAAAAAAAAAAAACTTACTTTGTGTGCAGGCTTGTTTTATGTCCACTTGGCAAAGCTTAGAGTCACTTTATAGGCAAGAACCTCCATTGAGAGAAGACCTCTATAAGATCAGAGATCTGATTTTTTTCTAATTTTTTTCTTAACTAATAATAATTTTAAAAAATGATTGATGGGGGAGAAAACAGCCCATTGTGGATGGGGCCACAACGGGGCTGGTGGTCCTGGATTCTGCAAGACAACAGGTTGAGCAAGCCATGACAAGCAAACCAACATAGCAGCCTGCCTCCATGGCCTCTGCAGTGGCTCCTGCCTCCAGGTTCCTGCCCTGGCTTCCCTCAGTGAACTGTGACTCAGGACATCTAAGTCAAATAAACCCTTTCCTCCCCAAGTTGCTTTTGTCATGGTGTTCCATCACAGCAATAGGAACCCAGACTAAGCCTGAAGAGCCAAGTCTGGATTCCCAGAATCCATCTAAAAAGCCACACATCTGTAATCCCGGTGCTGGGGAGACAGAAACAGGAAGGGCCCTGGGCCATCTAGCTAAGCAGTGAGCTTCAGGTTCATTTGGGGGTGGGAGGGAGCGCCTGTTTCAAAAACCAAAGTGAGAGGCTGGAGGACTGGCTTAGTGAGCAGTTAAATCTCCTGCTGCTCTTGCTGAGGACTCAGGTTCAATTCATATCATCCACATGGAAACTCACAACCACCTGTAACAGCACTCCAGGAACTCGGCACCCTATTCTGGCCTCCAAAGGTACCAGGCATGCACATGGTTTCCATACATACATGCAGGCAAAATAGTCACACACATAAGGAAAAAGAAATCTATTTCTTCTAAGGAGCTGGAAGAAGACACACAACAGTACGTCGGTTCTCCACACGCGTGTGCACGCCTCCCCATATCCATACAAGCGCCTCATTTCCATGACCTCCAAGAGGGCTGACTTCTCTCTCAGAGCACCTGCCAGTGCTCTAACTGCGTTCATTCTGTCTGTGTCCTAAGACTGAGTGGGCTTCACAAGGGAGGAAGGGGCATCTGTCCCCCCTGAGCCCCAACCACTGCAGAGAGCAGCACACAAGCAAATGGATTCTTCACAACTGCTGTCAGTGCCTCTCAGGCATTATGATCGCACAGACCCTGGGGATGAAGGAGGGGGGCACTGGAGCTCCTCCCACTCCCCACCTTAGGCTGGGCATTCTCCTTCCTCAAGACAGGGTCAGAGTGGAGCCCTGTCTTCTGGTGAATTCTTTTACTGAAGGAAACAGGACAACATTCCTTTCCCCTACACCCTCCACAGACTGTTTAAAAAAAGGAGTCATTTATTCTCATCTTTGTAATCCAGTAAGGACCATGGGTGAACACCAGCCAGAAAAAGTGCCATTGTTTAACTGTTTAAATGACAAGAAACAGGTTTCTAGGATCCTGATGGTGGAGAGGGGATTGGTCTCAAGGTAGAGAAACCTTGAAATTCAGCACAATTACTAGCCCTTCTGTTCACCAGGTACAGGACTTTTGGCCTCAATTTGTAGATCTGACAAATGGGAATAGTGATAAGGACACAGGAAAGTCCCTAAGTTCTCCCTCCTTGGCTTTGGGTGGAGGTTGAGGGTCCGTGGGAATAGTCTGTTCTAGCTCCATGAACTGAGTAATCTCTGAGACGTGAGTCCGAGCGGCGAGAAGGATTTTTATGCTAGGACACAATGACCTTGAGCAGTCCTAACGGCTTTTGACAGAGCCCCAGCCCCAAGCCAGACCTCACCCGTGGGCTATTGGTTCCTCCGACAACAGCCAAGCACAGCCCTATGATGGCGTAGGAGGAAAAAGATAGCCTCACAACCCATGAAGGCTAAACACCAGCAAGATGTACCTCGCCGGCATCAAAGCCACCCCTACTCCAGGCTCCAAGGAGACTACAGACTTCCCGGTTACTGGGCGGAGCTGGGCCTGATGCTGGAGCGCCCAACTTCAGGAGTCAGGCCTAATGGAGGGGCTTCTCTTTTCACCGGCTTCTCCCCCCACCCCCCATCAAAGAACGGCTCTCCGGCCATTTCCATTCTCTGTGAGGCTCAAGAGTCCTGTTATTTAATATCGTGGCCACCCCAGCAGCATCCTGCCAAGGCCTGCTCCACCCATCCACCTGGCCAGTTCACCACTGTTCCCTTTTCTTTTTTAGAAGGAACAATCGGGAAAACTGCCTTCTGCAACAAAAGGCACGGGGCCGCAAGATTACAAAGGCTAGCGTCTTCTTAGGACTGGAAAACGACAAGGGCGCGAGTAGTGAAAGGGGCACCTAGCCAGGGCAGCAGAGGGCGGGCGGAAGCCCGGGGCACTGCGGACATTACTCTGGGGCGGGAGAGAGGCGGGGTTGAGAGGTGAGGGCCAGGCCTCTGGCTGAGTGGACAGAATCGCCCCGGGGGGTATTGGAGCCGGAAGAGGCCTCGGCCCAGATACTGTCCACACCCAAGAAATGGGAGGAGGAGTGGTCTGCACTTAGAAAGAGAGCCAGACGCACTCAGCAACACCCACCCTACCCTTTTTTGAAATAGACAAAGACATTTTCTTAATTTTTGGCGAATGCGGCTGGAAGGTCCCTGCCCCCGACGTCCCCAGGCGCCACTGATCTCGAAAAGAAGAAGGTTCCCAGTAGGGGTCCTCTCGCTTCCCCTCCCCATCGCCTGCGGCGACAAGAGATATGCTGATCGAGGTGTGTCCTCCCCCACCCCGCTCTGGGCCCAGAATCCCGAGGCCGCAGCGCCCCCCACCCTCTAGTCACACCGACGGTTCCTGCCCAAGCCCGCAGTGGCGTGAAGGTGGCCTTTACCTCCTCTTGCAGGCTGGGAGGAGGGTACAACCCACGCAGCTGAGCCAGCTGCAGCTGTCGCCGCCGCCCTCCATTCATTAAAAAGAAAAAAAAAAAAAGGAACAACAACCTCCACCCCTCTTTGTAAAAGAACGACGGCCCCTGGAGGAGCAACAACCGGCCCCAGCAATCACGGGTTAAGCTCTTTTCCGGCCCCCCATTCATAAAAAAAAAGAAAAGAAAAAAAACCGCAGCGCATGCGCGCACAGGGTCGCCTGTGCCCACCCATTCATAGAATCGCGGGCGGCGCGCGTGCGCAGTGGAGCTCTCTGCCCTCCCATTCATAAAAAAGCCATTTTCCCAGGCAAGGGTTGCAACATCGCCGCCGAGGCAGCGAGCTGAGCTGACAGCGGCGGAGCTTGCGCTGCAGGACTCAAGGAGCCTTACCGGCTCCTCTGACTGGCGTCTGCGAGTACAACAGCGACTGACCCATTTGGGTTCGGGGATTTACACAGACGTGGAGCGATGCTTGTGACTCTACAGCTCCTCAAAGTAAGTCCATAGCCGGTTTGGAGATCCGAAAGTACCCCTTCGGTACCGTGACGCGGCTCCCCTCGGGTTGGGGCCAATAGTACGCTATTTCTAGCCGCTTTGGTGTTCCTTCCCTCGGTCTGCGCCTCCTCGAGTCCCTGCGGTACGCTGCAGCTACCAGGCGCACCCGGCCGGCACGGTGCTAGGGGTGTTCGTTGCCTGGCACTGCCGTTGCCGACCCTAGGCATTGCCAAGTCGAGCTTCCGCGCCCTCTGTGACTCTGGAAACCTTGTTAGTGTTCGGGGAGTTTGCCTCTGGCCTGGCCTCTTCTGCCACTGCTCTCCTTGAACGCTGGAACCCGCAGCCCCGGGCTCGCTTTGGAGCAACCGGTTGGGACTTGGGGGCGCCCTAGGTTTGGGCGGCTCGCCCACCCCCGGGCTCCGTGCCCACGGTGCCAGCTCTGCCGTAGGTCTTCCCAGCCTTTCCTCAGGGGCCTATGCTCGACGTAGCTTTTTCTTTACCAGTTCCGAGTTGTGGCGGACTAGGTTTCCTCTCCTATGCCTCTCCACTGGATGGTCAGCATGGGGCCGGCCAAGGACTGAAGCTTTTTTGCTCCCTCTCCTTGGCTAGGCGGTTCCAGACCGTCTGACCTTTGCTCGGCTGCCTCATTTTATGCTGTGCAACTGCCTTGCCTCTTCTTTCCCTAGCCTCTTCTGGGCCCGAGGCTCCTTGGCCACCCGGTGCCCCCGTATTCGCAGGCATCAATCTTTTCCAGTTCCCAGAGCCCCTGGGCCTCTCGCTAAGGCTGTGGTGGGGGCTGAAGGTGCGTTTACATAACGCCGGGCGTGTGGGAGCTGAAGGAAGAGGTTGCATGCGTAGGAGAGATAAGGTGCCCACTTTCCCTCCTTGTTGGTACCAGACTTGATAACAACACGGAGAATAGAGGATAGAGATGGTATGTTCTAAAAAATTTGGAGTCGACGGGGCCACGGGGGGAAGGGGGAGGACGGACTTGGCCAACCCGGGCAGCTGGAGCTTGGCTCCATCACTGGGGCCACGGCTGTGCCCAGTTTCCCCCTCAAAGCAGACGATCAAAAAGCATTTACAGTAGCTTCTCTTGGGCAAGAAGACGGTTTCTCAATTCTTTTGATTGGGGACTGGGGGTTGTGGGCAGAGGAGGAGACTAGAAACAGAAAGATGGTTGCATGATTTGAAGAGCTAAGGGATGGCGTTCTAGGCGACATGGGCTGGAGGGAATTGCGTGAGGTGTAGAGGGGAAAGCTGCTGGCTGGGCATCCATATTGTCAGGCCTGGCTCAGGGCAGAAGGCCTCCTACTGCGCAGGGAGGCTTCCTGGAACCCTGCGACGCTGCAAGGATTGCTTGGGGTCCTCAGACGCAATGCAATGGCAGTCTCTTTAATGTCACCAACCAGGGATGTGATTCTCCCCCATTTTGAGGGGGAGGCAAGGGAATCTGGGGAGGGCAAGAGCTCGGGCATATCCACTATGTAGGTGACCAGGGCTGCAGCCTTCGTGACAGGCCTCTACTCAGCACAAAGCTGGAAGGTGAGACCTAGAGCAGTTGGGAAATAGGGCTTTATCAATCTCTTAATAAGTTCCGTCTGGCCCAAGGCCCTACTCAATATTGCGCTGCTGGATTTCACAATGTTTGGAGTTCTCCAGAATCTTCACACACGGAGCACAAACATCTGAGATTTTCTGCTTCTAACCCCACTTTAGTTGCAAATCTGGGGGCGTCCGGCAAAGGAAAGGACTGTAGTTGCTCAGGCTTTCTCTGAAAGAAAAATTGGAGGGTTGACACCCCTGAGGTTACATTTTTTTTTTCTATTTCCAGTTCTTTGGGAGGGTCCCTTTGCTCCAGGAAAATCCTCCCCATCCTTGCGCAGGTGAACCATGTTGGTGGGCATTTAGATTGCTGCAGTCCTGAGTGTACAGCTAGGTGGAGGGGCTTTAATCTCTTGCTTATATCTCATCAGGAATTTAGAGCTGAGTTCAGGAGTTCCTTCTGGGACATTCATCCTTCTTGCTGGATCCCACAACCTTTTCCACATTTCCCTCTGAAATGGTAGCCTCACCACAGTTCAGGTTGGTGGGAGGAGACAACACAGACTGGATCCATTCAGGGCAGATGGCAGGCTGGGCATCCACCGTCCTTTTTGCCTGTCTCACGTTCCAGAGTTGGCAATTTGGAAATCACCCTTTGCCCAGTTCATGCGTCTTTTTCACTATCTTGCGAACTTAGCACTATATGTGCCCAGAGGTTTGGCTGACTTTCTAAAACAACAGAAAACAAATGAAGGCAAATAAGTGATCCAAAATCAAGGGAAGAGACAAAACCCAGCTAACACTGGCTTTTGAAGTGTCACTCTGGGTCATGCATAAGGACCTTAAATTCCACTCACCGTGGCAACTTTCTGCCCTGTTTTGGACTCCTATAACATTTTTAAATTAATTTGTTTTAGGGGCAGGATCTCATTATGTAGCCTGGCTGTCCTGGAACTCATTCTGTAGGCCAGGCCGGCCTCGAACTCAAAAAGAACCACCTGCCTTTGCCTCCCAGGTGTTGGGATTAAAGACTGTAGCTGTGCCCACTAACATTTTCCCTAAAACCCGTGTTAGATAAGGCCTGATTGTTGGTTACAGGATGGCCTAAGAAGAAAAGGCCCTCTTTGGGGTTTAATTTGGTTCTGAATCTAGGGTGTCTGTCCTGTGGTAGAACCAAGAACAGCGTTCCTTGTGCCTAGCCGAGGGAGGCTTCCGGCCAACCACTCGACCTATTAGGACATTTGGAGAGTAGACGGAACAGGTTTGTTGTTGGCTGGCTAGCTGGCTTGCTGGTTTTGAATGAAACAGTGTTTTTTTCTTGTAGACACTAGCCCTGAGCTCTTTTAAGTTTTTATTTTAATTGTTGTGTATGTAAATCATGTGCATGCATGCACACTTCCACGTGAACGCAGTTGCCCACAGAAGTCCCGCATTGGGTGCCTGTGGAGCTGTAGTCACAGGCTAACGTTGGAACAGCTGCCTAAAGCTGGCGCTTTTCAACTCGGGTCCTCTGAAAGACCAGTCAGTGTGTGTGTGCTCTTAACCCTTAGCCGTCTCTCCAACCCCATAAACGTGGCTTTTTTTTTTTTTTTTTTTGAGACAGGGTTTGTCTGGGCTGCCCTGTAACTTGATTGTATAGACCCACACAGACCGGTCTCCAACTCAAAGAGATCCACCTGCCTCTGCCTTCCCAGTGCTGGGATTAAAGGTATGCACCACCGACGGTCAACTTTGAGGTTCTTAATTTCCCTGCCTCTGCTAGGTTTGCAAATGCAAACCTTGCCGAGCAACGAGAGGGCTTTTATTTGTTTGTTGAGACAAGGTCTTGACTGGCCTGAAACTCCCTGTGTACACAAGCTGGCTTCCAACTTGGATCAATCCTCCTGCCTCTGCCTCCGGAGTGTTGACATTACAGGCAGGCTCCACCATACCCAATTTACAACAGTGTTTTTAAATAACACAGTGAATCATGGCAATCAATTTTTGTAAGGAGACATCGACTAATCCTGCAGACGAGGGCTGGTAAGCATGGGTCTTGGTGAACAAACTTCTCCAAGAACCTGAGAGACCAGGGACAGCCAGTAGTAGGGCTGCTAAGCACCAGGCTCGACTTTGGTAAGCTCGCTGTTAATCTTGTGCTCTTAGGAGGAGGGTCTGGTTTTAAAGACCCTTTGAATAAAAGGCACAGGAAGTACAGGGTGCTGCGTGATTTAAAAGGTGGGGGTACTCTTGGCTCTCACTGGGTTACCCTGCAGATCTGGGCAGCTGACTAGGTTGGGGAATGTGTCCACGACCTGTGGCCAAGCTTAAGAGGCCCCACTGTTCAGCTGTGATGGGGGCTGATCTTTCCAAGGAAGGGCCTCTAGTCGGTGGAGGAAGTGGGGAAGCAAGACTCCGCAGAGAGCCACAGATGTTCTAGGTCTAGCGGAGGAGGGAAGGGGGCCCTGGGGCAGGTGGCCAGTTGCAGGGGTGTATTTTTCCTTGTCAGTCTGTTTCTGGCTGGGAAAGGGGGAAGTCATTTCCTGTTAAATTCCCAAGAGGAAGCTAAAAATCTATTGTCAGTTTTGTTTCTTGGTGGAGGGTTTGGGAGACATTAAGATCGCGTTGATGACGTCTAAAAAGAAGCCTTCCCGGGGGTTGGGAGTCTGCAGGCTTTTGGTCACATTCTACACTTTGACCTGGCCCGTTCAAATGTGCGGTGCTGCTGGTTAGCAGGCCCCATCTGTTCTGTTTCCCTCCTTTGTGACTTGGCATCTGATCCCTCGTAATGGGCTACTGGGCAGACAAGTATATGGGTATATACACAGCAAAGCGCAGAAGCTTGAAGCTGGTTAAAATTGCCCAGATACAAGGGAAGGAAAAGGGGGCTGAAAACCGGGGCACTGTTTCCTTTGGTGATCCCTGACAGGGCCAGCTGTGAGCTCTCTAGTGCTAGTGAAGTAGGGAGTGGGTAAGGGTGTGTCCTCAAACAAATTGAGCCGCCCAGAGACTTTCTGCTTCCTTCCTATGGGCTTCACAAATTGGCTTCCCCCATAAGACCCAGGGGGAAGTCCCTGGCTTTCCCTACCCCCCCCCCCCTTCCCTTAAGGGTCTTAAAAGCAATAAGTCATCATCTGGCTATAGCTTAATTAACTAAACTGGGTTAGCGACACAAAGGACCAGGCAGTGGTGTTGCCGAGAGGTGGGCAGGCTCTCTGGCAGCCTAACGAGCCTTCTGTGGAAGAGCCCGCTAAGACTGAATGGACAGCACAGAAACTGCCCATTCATTGCAACCGAGCTTCTTGCCAGGCTGTCGTTCACTGACTTGTAGATTTTAAAGTACAACCAGCAGGTTTTCCCACTATTCCCCAGCTTCCCTTCGTAGGGGAAATCAAGGTAAGGGTGGCCAGGGGCTTTGGATGTTTAACTTTGCATCTTGATTCTTTTCGCACAGCCTGTGTCCAGTTCCCTCCCCG